CTACGTTTTTATCAGAGATGAAGACAATGTATTCAGCCCTGGTTGGATGACTCATGGAGCACATATATTTTGCCCTAGGGGCAACAGGAGTTGACCAAGCAGGGAAGTCATGTGCTCAGACACGTGCTTAAGAACATTTTGGGAAACACAGCCATAAGCCCGAACTAAGCTTTGGTAGATTTGACTGGAATCAAACTCCAGGGCACAGGCAGAGTCAAAGAGAGCTATTGATCTCTTGGAGGGAAGGGTCCCCAGGATTGAACCCAGTGAGCTGTAAGCCCACAATTCCTTGGGGAGGGGATGAGGGGGAACCCAGGGTAACAATCCAAAGATCCTGGTTAGAAGTTTCTGGCAAACAGACCCATGTCAGGCTAAAAGCAAGTTTAAGACTCCAGGACCAGCTGAGCACAGCCAGCTGGGTAAAGGGCGATGGCAGCAGAATATGATATAATTGGTTTGGTTTCCTTTCCACTGGGGAAAGCTTTCCCTCAGTTAAGTGTTCTGAGAAAGCTGTACTGTAATCACTTCCTTACTTCAAAGGCAATCACATACAGCCGCCTTCCTGGGGAGGTGACTCATTCAGAGCACTGACTCAAGGAAGGCTGGGAGCAGGGTAGTAGGGGAGGTGCTACTGCTACCCACTGGCACTAAAATCCTTACAATCAGCCTATATTCCACCTACTCACCCTATTACTCTAACCTTCTTCTGTCTCCATCTCCAAAGCATGTCTACTGGGCTTAAGCTGTACCCTCTTCTAGTAAAATTCCCTTTCCCTTTCAAAACTCTCCTTGACATTCACTGTAGTCTGATTTTACCTACATCCAAATGTTGGAATGGGATGAGAGGAAGGAATTTACTCTCCTTCTCTATCCCCAAGGGTTGTTCTGTTCATCTTCTAGTGATTTGATCTAGTAATCACAATTCTATTCAACTGAGTGGACACTCATTTGGGCACCTAACACCTGCAGGATATTTTGCTAGGTGCTAAGACTGCAAAAGTGGGAAAAAGATATATTCCTAATGTTCCTGTTCTCAAGACATTTATAGTCTAACATACAAGGAACTATGATCGAAGGTAAAATATGAGAGATTTTTATGAATGTCTCCCTTGCCCCTAAGAATTTTTTTTTTTTTTGGCGAGTGGGGTTAAGTGATTTTGCCCAGAGTCACATAAGCTAGGGAGTGTTATGTGTCTGAGGCCAGATTTGAACTCAGAACTTCCTGTCTCCAGGGCCCGTGCTCTATGCACTGGGCCACCTAGCTGCCCCTCCCCTAAGAAAATTTAAAGAGAGCACTAGACCTCACACTAGACCTCACTCTGTTGCAGAACAATAAGTAACAAAATTCTTTGTATTGGTTAAAGATTAGAAAAGTTGGTCCGTGGGACAGATTAGGAACGTGAGATCCAGAAATAAATACACATAGTAGCCCAGTGTTCAATAAACCCAAAGATCCCAACTACAGGGTAAGTATTCACTATCTGATAAAAACAGCTGGGAAAATTGGAAAGCAGGCTGGTAGAAATTAGGTTTAATTAACACTTCACACTGTATACCACAATAAACCTCAAATGGATACATGACCTAGATATAAAAGGTCACATCATAAACAATTAGGGGACCAAAGAAGGAGATACTTTTTCCAACTGTGGGTAAGGGGTAGAGCTCTTGATGAAACAAGGGATAGAGAAAACCACAAAAGATAAAACCAACAATTCTGATCACATGAAATCAAAAAGGTTTTTCACAAACAAAATCAATACTGTTACAATTAGAAGGGAAACAGTTAACTAGGAAAATATATTTTCAGCAAGTTTAGCTGATAAAGGTCTGATACTCAAGATACGTAGGGAACTAATCCAAATATATAAGAACAAAAGTCATTCCCCAGTAGATAAACGGTCAAAAGATATGAATAGGCAGCTCTCAAAAGAAAAGCAAGCTATCAACAACCATATAAAAATGCTCTAAATCATTAATATAGGAGAAATGTATAATAAAACAACTCTGAGGTTCCATCTCACACCTTTAAGATGACTCCCCCAAAATAAAAGGAAATGACAATTGTTAGAGGAGAAGTGGGAAGACAAGGACACTGATGACTTTTTGTGGAGCTGTGAACCGATCCAACAATTGTAGGACTCACTTTGAAACTAAATTCCCAAGGTCACTAAACTGTACAGATCTTTTGACTTGGGGATACCCCTATTAGGCCTGACCCCCCAAAATAAAATCAAAAAGCAAGGACCCATATGTACAGTATTAATCATCATAGTTGGCATTTACATGGTACTTTAAGCTTTGCAAGGCTTAACATATGTGATCTCATTTGTTATTCATAGATAGACTTTTTTGTTGTAGAAGAGAACTGAAACTAAGGGGATGTTCATTAATTGGGGAATGGCTAAACAAATTTTGGTGTATGAATATAATAGAATATTTTTGTTCTACAAAAAATGACAAAGGGTACAGATTCAGAGAAACTTGGGGAAACTTATATGAGCTGACACAGAGTGAAATAAGCAGAATCAGGAGAACAATACACACACTGACCACAACACTGTAAACAACTGACCAATGAAATGACTAATCATGACCAGAGGACCAGTGGTGAAGCATGCTTCCCACCTCTTAATCCATAAGTGATAGTCTAGAAGTGTGGGGGGGAAAAACCATACATTTTTGGACTTAGCCAATGTATGGATTTGTTTTGCTCAACTACATAAACTTGTTATATGGGTAAATTAAAAAATTTTTTTGAGGAGGAAGAATGCCCGTTGAGGCAATGAGAATAAGATCAATGCACCTGCTCCTCAAAACAGTATTAATGAAGTATGTTTTTAAAAAATGAGCAGAGAAATCAGAAGGAGGTTCAGAGGGCAACACAGACATTAGAACTAATTTAAAAAACATGCTACATATAATGAGATGAGTGTCATAAACAATTTTCTTTTTCTGTTCTTGTCATATGAAAATGTTTATATCTGTTGGTGTTTTTGAAGTTCAGAATAACAAAAAGTTTTTGTTTTTTCAATTTGAGGAAGGAAAGTTTCAAGGAGGAAATGGCATCTAAGCTGGACTCTGAAGGAAACAATCCTAGAAGCAAAGATCTAGAGCTGGAGGGAACCTCAGAGGCAATCTAGTCCAACTTCGGTTTTACAGACAGTCAAACTGAAAAAAGATTGAGTGACTTGCGCAAGGTTCCACAAGTAGTATGCGTCACAGGTGGGATTTGAACCTAGGTCCCATGACTCCAGAGCCAGTGCTCTTCCCGCTGGATTTCTACAGACGGGGTGTGGAGGGAATACATTCCAGGCTTGGGGATGGTCATTGGGAATGCATGGAAGCAGAAAAGGATAGGATGAGACTCGGTTCAGTTTGGCTGCAAAATCAAACGTGTTTTTCACGAACTTGCAATGTGAGTTCATCAGAAATGGCCTTTCAGTGATCAAGGCATTTAGTGATACATAAGATAAAATGTATTTAGTTTAGTAATACAGAAATTCAGATCTGGAAGGGTCCTTGGAGATCACTGAATACAACTTCTCTATCTTACATAAAAGGAAACCGGTCACATTTGCTCTTGTTCAATCTCCTGCCCATGAACAGAATCATCACTCCATTACCTTCCTCCTCATAAAACTCATGACGAATGTGGAGATTGGGAGGTGAGACTGAGGATAACAAAGGAAGAGCCTGCCCTCCTCCTGCACATGTATAGGACCTGTCTATGAAGGATACACTGAAAAACTGTTTCAAGGGGCTACTTGTCTAACAGTGGCATGATCTGGGTAACAGGTATTTTTTTCCTTCAGTTTACTTTTCCAGTGTGGATGGTTAGGGTACTCTCTTTTGAATAACTTTGGATTTCACTAAGGTCCTGGAGTATTCTAGGTCATGATTCAATCAATTAAAATATTACAACAGAATTGGGTTATTTGGAAAAACAAGTCATCAACAGAGAATCACTCTTCTATTTTGATTCTAAGAAGGACATGTATTCTCCAAGACAACGACAAAGCCTTAGATGAGAATACAGTCTCTAGGTTTTTGTTAAACACTTTAGTTTCAACACATCTCTATTTCTGTGATAAAGAAACTCTCACAGAAGGCTAACAGAGATGAAGAAATTCATTGTCTTTATGGTAAAACAACAGGAAACACAAAGGATGAAATATTTTGAAAAGTACCACATTGCAACTGAAAATCAGTTTGTGGTTTACCATGCAGTCACGATCCCCACTTTGCTATATGAAATCATCATATAGCTGATAAGCATGAAAATTCCACTGGACACAGATGATTCAGATGCACATCTGCTTGAAGGCTGGAAATTGGACAATATGCCAGGAGGTAATCCAAGAGTAACAAAACTGAATCAGTGTAGTGTTATATAGTGAAAAATGGTTGAACTTGGAATTATAGGACCTGAATTCATGTCTTGGCTCTGCTAATTATAATTACTACCCATGTGACTTTGGGCAAGTTACCTAACCTCTCTGGTTCTCCTTAGTTTCCTCAAATGTAAGATGGCTCAGCTGACCTCAAAAGACCCTTCTCTTTCTAAGTCTGATCCTTAAATGGTAGAAAGAAGACTGGAGAGGAAATCATGAGATGTGGCTGTAAGTCCTGGCTCTGCCACTCAGTCAGCATGTTATCTTGGTCAAGGCCCTCCCCCTCCCTGTGCCTTAATTTCCTCATATTAAAATGGAAGGGCTGAACTAGATCACACCTAAGGTCATTTCCAGTTCTAATATATTACATTTCTGTGTTCCTATGAGTATAGTCACTACCACCATTGAAATAGTGAAAAAGTAAGAGTGAAAACAAAAAACAAAGTTGAAAATGAAAACCGATCTTTTTGATAGATGGAACACCTGCCTGAATCCTGACAGGAGCTGCAGGGCCCATCTCATAGAGATGTAAAGAAATCACAACCCAGTGTCCTTCCCCATCAAGGCCAGCTCCTTGGCACTGCCACCTTTTCTTCCTGTACTCACCCTCAGTGCTAAGCTCTTCAGCAGGGGCTTCGCTGGGCCACAGGGAGTCCACTGACTCCGGCCCATCTCCCTTTGAGATCTCGGTGACTTGCAGTCTCCGGAGGCTCACCATGTCTGTGTTTTGTAACTCTCCCTCCAGCTGTTTAACAATGTCTTTTCCAGGCTGGCAAGTCAGAACTGTAATCTGAAGAGAAAGCCAGAAATCATCAGGGCCTCATTGTTCCCTCTACTCTGCCTCAGACATTTCTGAAGAACATGGAAGGAAGTATTTAGTTTGCCATAAAATGGGATAACTAGGAGGGGGGATGAAGTTAAAACATTGGCTTGAGATTTCATACTATAGAAGCAGACTACAGGAGTGACCAAACACTAAGAATCAGGTCAAACCTACCTTAGACGGTGAATGGAAATAACCACAATTGCCATCCACTGAGCAGACGGGGATGGGGTGGAGTGGGAAGTTCCCATTGGGCTCTTTCTGTCTGGGTGCAGCAGAAGGTAGTTCTTTCACTTGGGGCACGGGGGGTGGCTTATCTGTCATGACCTTGAAGTGGGTGCTTTTATGTCATCCAGGACACTTTCAGGTTCTCTTCTCCCCCAGTCTGACTGGGATTATTCCTATTATTAATTATTACAAATACTAGCCCATGTTGTTTTAACCTTGCAAACAGTTGCGGATTGGAGGCCAAAAGCCTTCTTTGACTGACATGAAGGACAGAGTGCTGAGGGAAGGGTTTTGAATCCCTTTACGATGCAGTTTCCTCTGCACACTACTGCCCCAGCTGATTAACCCCATCCAGGCTATTCCCTACCATCGCAAAAGAGTGGTGTGATGCACAGTGTGTTTGTTACACTTGGAGTTAACAGGACTTGACATCAGCTGTGTAGCCATGGACAAGTCCTCTGGTTCTGTTTCCTCATCTTTAAAATGGGCATAATACTAGAATAGCTATCTCACAGGGTTACTGCAAGGCTCCAATAAAATACGTAAAATGCTTGCAAGCTTAAAAACCTACATGAATGTAAGCTATAATCATTATTATTATTCCTGGTGCCTTTAGCAAGTAACAGATCTGAAGGCCAGCTGGATAAATGGGTAGCCTCACTGATCAGCTAAGACCTCACAAGGAGAAGACAGTATAACAGGAAAGAGCACTGGATTATAAATCAGCAGACTTGGGTTTGCATCTGGGCTCTGCTACTTGATAGCTAGATGACCTCTGATAGGTTACTATACCTCTCTGGGTCTCAGTTTCTCCATCTATGAGAGAGAGAGAGAAGAGAGAGAGAGAGAGAGAGAGAGAGAGAGAGAGAGAGAGAGAGAGAGAGAGAGAGAGAGAGAGAGAGAGAATGCACGTGTACGTATGTGTGTGTGTGTGTGTGTGTGTGTGTGTGTGTGTGTGGTGTGTAGGAAGCTACTTAATCCTTGAATTGAGTCCTGTTAAATATACTTAATGACCACGGGCTGACAGGCCCACCCCTCCCAAAGAAGTCACTGGAAATAAAATTTCCTTCTTACTTACTTTCTTTTTCTTTTTTTGGAGAAGAGTAGTTGGGAGTGTGTAGTAAAAGTTCCAGTGCATATAAAGATCACCCAGTTCAATTTGGGCCCAGGAATCCAATGGCTCTCCCCCTCTTACAATGTCCTTCCCTCAGGCCTTTCAACCTAAATGTATGCACCCCCAACCTGTACATGTCACAATTACCTCCCTATTCATTCAAGTCTTATTTTAACAGTTTTATTCTGCTGTTTGTATGCCTAGCATATGCTCATCGACATCACTATGTGTCTCAAGACTATAAACTCCTTGAAGGACTTGGTCTGTGCAGGTCTCCATGAAGTTCAACACACATTTTTGGATAAAGGAGGAGGAAATCAGACTGTCTTTTCTTTTAATTTCCTGGAAAAACTGCTACTTCTTGACTACCTCTATCGTCAAATCAGACCCAGGTCCTACAGGAGTGTTTATGTTGGCTCCTGATCAATTTCAACATTGAGTTGATCCCAAGACTCATATTGTGGTACCAATGCCCAGGTCTGACCAAAAGTATTAACAAATCCCTGAGTACATCAGGACAAATACACTGATCTGGTGGCCACCCCACCAGACACCTGCCCAGAAACAGGACTGCATTTTTAGATCGATTCTGATTGTGGGTTTTGTATACAATTTAATTCCGATTCAATTTGTATTTTCTAAGGGATTACTGATAGACTATGCTGTGGGGGCTTTGAAGGAAGGAAATGACAGGGTCTGCTCTTAGAGAGCTCATAGCTTAGCTAGGGAAATGAGATTCCTATAGGTGAACACTTAGAGAAAAGGACAAAACAGTGTAACATTTGGTGATCCTATGTAAATTGACTATAAAACCTGATAGGGAAAGATGGTGCCTCTAAGTAGGGAGCCCTGGAAGACAGCATCCTTTACCTCCACTGAAGGGCTGCTTGGAGCCGCGCTCACCATCGTGTGTCTGCTGTGCTGTTTGAACTGCTGGAGCCCATCCTGCACCGCCAGATTCAGACAAGATTTCTGTTGGCAAATCCCTTCTCTTGGCACCAGGCGCAACTCAGAGATGCAGGCCTGCAGCCGGACAAAGTTCCCTTTCACCTGCTGCAGAATGGGAATAGAAGTTAGCAGCCACGATCACCTGATTAAGTACGAGCAGCCCTTTTCAGAACAGGGCCGGCAACGTCCGATCTTAATTTTCACTGTGACCCACACGTCTGGTCAGGATGGGATCAGCCACTACTGCCTCCGAAAGCAAGTCTCACAGTCCGTACAGCCTCATCGGTCAGGGTTACCAAGAACAGAAAAACCAATTCGTTCTAGCCCTCTCTCTCCATTGATAAGTCAGAGCGGCTGAATTGTGACTGCTCAGCATCCACCCAAAGACAACTGGCTGACTTGCAGGGTCATCCCATCAAAGTGTTCATCTTTGTTTCTTCTCAGGCCAAACACGGACTCTCTCTGCTTACCTTCCCTTAGGTGTTTTCCTGGAAAAAGGAGATTTTGTTCACTTCCAAATCTAAAAATGAGGCTGTTCGTTTGAGTCCATAGTGTTCTATCTGTTCCATTCACAGTCATCAAGGCAGGGAAGTAGGTAGGGATGCTTATTCTATTACAGTCATGCTCAGGAAGACAATCAAGCCTTACATACAATACTGTCAGAGACTATTCTCTTCTCAGGCCTTCCCTTATCCAAAACCTTCTCTCAGGAAGGGATCGGAGTCGTTTACATAAGAGTATGAATTTAACTGAATGCCTTTACTCTCCAAAGGGACATAATTCATTTTTATATGGCACATTCAGATTTACAACGTGCTTTCCTAACTAGCATCCTATGAGGTAGGCAGTATAAGTATTGCCCCATTTTACAGATAAGGAGACTGAGGCACAAGCAGTGACTTCCTCACTGTCATCTGGCTACTAAGTGCTGAAGACAGAATCTGAACCTAGGTCTTCTGATTTTTTTTCACTACACACTACATTGATTTTCTCATTCTAAAAGTGAACTCTCATTGTGGAAAGAAAGATTCCATTAGAAAAATTCCAAGTATTAGCAACAGATGGGGAGGCAGGAAGGGGGAGTTGGCCCACACCATCCTAGGTTATGAAATTAAATCATGTAAGTGGGTGCCTAGCCCACGTACATGACCATCTGTCTTTGATGGATACAGAAAAAAAACACTGCTTTGCACAGAGTTGGTACTTAATAGATGGTTGGTGAATGACTGAAAGTATGACAGTTTTTGCAACAAATAGCATACAGTCTTCTTGGAGAGACAAGGCAAATAGACAAGAAACAGGCAAATTACAGGGCAGGGTAAAGGTGATGTAATGGGGAAAGCACCAGAGTTCGAGACAAAGGTCTAGGAAGAGCTTTGAGTTTTACTCCTTGCCATGTGGCGATGGACAAGTCTTCATTCTCTCTGGGGCTTGGTTTTTCTCTGTAAAATGAGGGAGCTGAACTAGATGATCTCTTAGGCCTCTTCTAGATTTACCAGCCATGTGCTCAATTATGGAGCAGACTAAACTTCAAACCTTGACTTTGAAGGATTGGTGATTCCACTGGATGGGCATTCCCTCCAACGACACAAACTTTCACCCTCCATAACTTAGGACATGGTCACTGAGAGTTGCTACAGCTGAAAAATTCATCACCCTGTGGCCAACTAAGAGATGAACCTCTGCAAACTTCAGTTAGCTCTTGGGTAACAGTCTGCAAAGCATCCTGTACTCAAGGCTTTTCCAGCTTGGGAGGAACTGGCAAAACCTGTGCTGTGAATTAGGAGCACAATTTATACTGTTAACAACAACACTGGGAAAATGAACACTTTGAAAGCCTTGAAGAACTCTGGTCAATGCAATAGCCAGCCATAATTTTAGAAGACTGCCGATGAAGTATGCTGCCTACCTCCTGACAGAGAGGTAAGGGACTAAATGTGCAAAATGAGACACACTTTCAGACATGGCCAGTGTGGGAATTTGTTTTGCCTTACCACACATCTTTGTTAAAGAGATTTTTCTTTTCAGTGGCGAAAGGAGGAGGGAGAAAGGAGGAGAGAAAGAAAACAAATGATTGTTAATTGGTAAAAGAAAACAAAATTTAACTAACAAAACTTATTCTCTGATGGCATAGACTTAAAAAAACCCAGAGTCACTGCCACCCCATGATGAGGCATCAGAGTAGGCCCTACGAAACTTTAAACCTGTCCTTTTCAATTTTCCTCTTTCTGTTGCTAACACTACCATCTTCCTAGTAACCAGGCTTGGGAATTTGACTTTTTCTTTGACTTTTCCCTCTCCTTCACTTTCAACTTTTAGTTATTTTCCAACTCACTTCTGTCAATTCCACCTGCACAGACTCTCTTGTGTTTGTCTCCTCTCCAAACATGCAGCTACCACCTTACTTCAAGCTGTCACTGCCTCTTGAAAGTCTCCTGACTGGTCTTCCTGCCTCCAGCCTCACCCCTCTCTAATCTGCCCTTCACATAGGGAGCTCCCAAAATAATATCTCTATAGCAGGAGATGTAGACATTTGTGTAACGGACCAAGAAACGGCTACAGAGCCAGGGAGGCCTTGCTTCAAGCTTTGCCTCCACCACATTAGCTGGGTGATCCTGATTGTATCACTTGAGTTCTCAGTGTCCGAAGCAATCTCTAAGACTACAAGTATGGAGCAGCTGTTGACTTGTACTGATAAAGGGAGTTTCTTTCATCTGTGAAACCACAGGTCTGCAGTGCAATCCACACTTTTGATTATGCCATTTGTCCATTAAAAAACTTCCAATGGCTCCCTACTGCTGACAGGGAAAAATGCAAACTCCTTAATCTAGTATTTAAAGTCCTTCACAATCTGGCCTCAACCGACCTGTCTAATTATACTCTACTTTGTATTATAGTTACTGGTGTACAAAGACTGGAGGGAAGAGACTGGAATCATTCTTTCCTTGTTGACACATTTTGCCTTGACATAGAAAACAAGCCCCACCAAAACTCACTACTCAGCAACTCCTGACTCTTGCACTTGTATTTCAAAGTTTCTTTGCAGCTTTGGTCATTCCATCAGGAATGCTTACAAGTCCTCTATTTCATTAAAGATTCTTTTCTCACCGCCCCCCCCCCCCGAGGACTATATGCAGTTGTGACAGGCATTAGTTTTGGTTTTAAGTCTATATCTTTTGCCTTCTGGAATATCAAAGTCCAAGCTCTCTGCTCCTTTTTAATGATGCTGCTAAACTGTGTCTGATCCTGACTGTGGCTCCTCAGTACTTAAAATTCTTTCTTTCTGGTTGCTTGCAGTATTTTTTCTTTGACCTGGAAGCTCTGGATTTTGTTTGTATCATTTCTAGGAGTTTTCATTTTGGGGTTTCTTTCGTAAGGTGATAAATGGATTCTTCTCTATTTCTCTTTTGCCTTTTGGTTCTAAGAGATCTGGGTAGTTTTCTTTTATGATTTCTTGAAATATGATTACTAAGCTCTTTTTTTTTTGGGTTTTCAGCTATCTTTCAGGTAGACCAAATATCTCTTCTCAATCTATTTCTCAGGTCAGTTGTTTTTTCTATGAGACACCTTATGTTTTCTTCTATTTTTTTTTTAGTCTTTTGATTTTAATATTTCTTATCTCATGGAGTCATTAACTTCTGGCCCTTGCTATTAATTTTCTTTCCAATTCTTTCCCCATAGCTCTCATTTCTTTTGCATTTTTTCCTTCCAGCACTCTCATTTGATTTTTAGAATAACTTTTAATTAAAACCAAACCAAACAAAACTCGTTTCATGTCTTACAGCAATTCTAGTTGAACTTGTGCCCAAGTTGTGTTTTTATTTGAGGCTTTGTCTATTGATGTTTTGGAATCATTCTTTTTTTCTAGATTTGTGTCTTGAGTATCCCTGTCCCCATAATACCTTTTTGTAGTGGGATTCTCTTTCTGTTTATTCTTTCTTTCAGCCTGCTTCCCAACATCGGATTTGATGCTACGGCCAGGTTCTGTGCACTTTCTGGAGGGAATACCTACTGCTTTCTTGGGGGTATTAAATGCTATGCTCTTCCAGGATCTCAAGGACAGCTCAGGCTGGGGACCTAAAAGCTCACAGTGCTCCCAAAATGATCTAATCCAGGACAAAGTCTGATTGGTAACACCCTTGTCTGAGTTCTGCAAGTTCCTGATCTGGGCTTGTGTCTAAGCAAACATACCTGTTACCTTGTTGGAGTTCCAACAGACTACTGTTAGAATCAGCCACTGTCAGCCAGCTGGAAGGCTCTGCTGGTTCAGAGTAACGGAACTACAAAGCTGTCTTTTGGTCTCAGTGCCCTACCTGGTTATACTGGACGCTGGAACTGAGACTCCTGTTCTGCTTTGTTCCCAGTTTTGGATCCACACAGCTAATGCTTGTTTCTAAGCTTGCTCCCTGCTCAGAATATAGTATGAGGCTCCTTATCCTAGACTGCTACCCCTAGGCACAGGCTTTCTTCTCAGTCCACCCTGGATGTGTGACCTAGAACTGAGTAGTGAGCATGGAGCTGTCAGTTGGCACCTGTTCCTGCACTGTGTACAAGTTCAGGACCCTCTGCATAGCTCTGGGACCTCTTCTTACCCTGGTGCACAGCCTTGTCCCTCTTTCAGGCCCTGTGTTGAAATGCTCTGGGCAGCTGTTTTTGACTAGATCCAGCTAGACCACAGACGACAATACCACCTTATACTCATTTAGGCTGGAAAAATGACTCACTGTGACTTTTTCTTGGCTTTCCCAATAAGGACTCAATCTGGTGCCTTTTCTAGATCTTTATGGGGGACTTGTGGGGCTGTATTTCTTCCTGTTATTCTTCCATCTTGGCACTCCTTCTCTCAGCAACTCACAAAGCACAATCCTCCCAAACAATTAAATAAGACAACACAAACACAATTACTATTAACATGAAACCTACTGTACACTTTGGTAGTTTCTCAGTTGTTAAAACAGAGAAGGGGTGTGTGCTTTAACTTTAATGTTGTTTATTATATCTGATGAATATTTCTGCTGTTTATAGCTGTCAGAACCTCGATTTCTATTCACTCTCCAAATCTGCTTTTCTGAAGCCCTTGCCTTCAATCAGTCTTCGAATGAACA